GCTGTGTGCTCGATCCAGTGCTGGCTGCTCACATGTAGAGCCACACGGCAGGCCGCGCTCACTGCACGAAGCATGGGCAGCCACATGCCACACCTCCAGCGCAGTCAGCACAATGCAATACATTCGCTACAATTACGGGACAACAGTATTATATATGTTGTCTGTAAATGATTCATATCTATAAATATAATTAGTTAATATAATTAAACAATAAATTGATATATTTTAGAGATATTAAGTATTCTTATCATTAGTCTGTTTGGTTGTATACTATACCAAAGCAGGGTGATAAAATTAAAATAGAAAGGTTTTTGTGCCTTAACTGATGTATGGAGCTCATGAATGAATTAAGTGAAATAAAGTGGCCATAGTACTCTTGGCTGTCATAAAGCAAATAGTATGCTTCGTTTCTAAAAACAAACAAACAAAAACAACTGTAATGAAAAAAAAAAATCACAGACAATGTTACAAAATAACATTTGCGCTATATATAACACGTTTGATGTATTACTGATTAAATACAGTACGTTTGCCAAAAAAAAAAACAATATGTGAGTTTGCATGATAGACTGATGCAGCAAGTTAAGGTCACATCTTTCTATTCTAAAGCTTTTAGCGCTCTCGCGTGGACTAGCGTTGAACTGCAACGAATGTTAAATGTGTTTACACAAATTATAATTAAGAGCAAAATGTTTATTGTCCAAAAGACTCTTTCTTTCTTTCTTTCTTTCTTTCTTTCTTTCTTTCTTTCTTTCTTTCTTTCTTTCTTTCTGTGTCTGTTCCATGGACTCTCCTGCGCTCCTGCAGGCCCTGAAACAAGTTCCCCCATTAAACCTGGAAACCAAAGACTGAGGACTCACTCTGGGGTCCGCGATAGCCCGCTCTCTGAATGTCTTGGTCTTGAGAGTGGACTTCCCTGCTGAATAAGCTCCCGAAGAGGGTTCGGTTGAAGGGGGAATGAAGACAAAGTTCAAAGACGCGCCCTCAAGTACGGCAAACAGCTGTTCTGATTCCTCTCAGACGTAAGATGGCCTCCCTCCAAATGCAGAGACACACATAGACTCTCACACACACTTATCAACTCCCTCCACAACCAGCAGACAAACACCCAGAGATGGAACGGTCCGCGTGGACACAGACGGGTAAAGGAGGCCTCGTGCACAGCACTGTGAAGAAGGTCAAAATGAGGACAGTGAGCTCTGTCCTTGGAGAAAAAGGACCTGGGGTTGGCGAACAGCTGCTCTTTGCACTTGCGCCGAATGTTTAAGTCGAAAACAATACAAAACAATAACCCAGAATGTGACGTGCAGATGGTCCCCCAACGACAAAGACTTTGCCCTTTGCACAAGCACCTTTTCATTTGTTGAATGTAAACGAAAAAGTCATTTTTGTAATAAAACATCACCCCTGTAGATGCTGCTTTTTTGGACATTTCTCTGTGCCGTGGATGCTTGCTCAGGAAGCTCCACTCTCTTCTGCTTCTGTGACTGCTTTAACCGATAAGAACCGTCCATTTAGACTAGAATGCTACCAAATAAACGTCTTTGCTTTGGATGACCTGAGTCTCAGGTCCTGAGTTTCCCCTGCATAAACGAGGACGCCATTGGCTCCCGAGACATGACGCTCGTGTAAATACGGGAGTGATGTAATCACGGCTCCATTGTAGCTTTTGAGTTTATCATCCATTCGTGCACGTAGGTGAAGTTGTTGTGAGGTAACTGCGTTGTGTAATTATTTTGTTTATACTACTTGTACATCTGTGTTTTTTATACGTGACCCACACATACGTTCACAAGTTTTAGACAGCCGAGAGCTGTATGCCATGAGATTGTGTACATAGCTTTGGACCTAGACTCGATCTGCATCATGTTCTGTGATAATTTCTGGTCAAATTAGGACAGATCTTGGTTCATGCTGTTGCCTTTACCTGTTTAAAGCAGTAAACATGATGGCGGCTATCTACATTTTTAATCCTGGATTCTACATAGAAGCAAAAGAAAGTGAATGTAATGTTAAAAACAATATATTAGTTTTGTATAGGAAGAGGTACTTGCTTTTTATTTTGGGACCTAAGAGAAGGTTGCTTGATGTATATATTTTGTCTAAAAAAAGTATTGTTGACATACATTAAAGAAAAAGTATTAATAAAGTTTTTTTTTTCCTGTGGAAATCATGCCTGTCTGAGTCTGTGTTTGAGAGCTTGAACATGTTTAGCTGAAAGAACAACCTCGCTGTTTTCCCCATCACAGTTCGTCCTTATGTAACACTTACATAACCCATAAACTTGCTGTCTATGCAAATCCTTTAGACAAACACTACGATAAGAGTCAGGTTACAAATATTCCAGCCTCACACCTCCTAACTAAAGTCCGTGCATTTTCGATAAGGTTTTGTGGCTCACTTTTTCTACAAAAAGACTTAGAACCCAAAGCAGAGAACATAATTGATTATTTTTACAGTCTTTGCAACTGCGTTACATTTCTTCGATGAATCACGTCCTCTTCTAATGCTCGCTAGCTGTTGAATTAGGTTAAGACTCCCCGCGTGTCTGGCTGTGTGCTCGATCCAGTGCTGGCTGCTCACATGTAGAGCCACACGGCAGGCCGCGCTCACTGCACGAAGCATGGGCAGCCACATGCCACACCTCCAGCGCAGTCAGCACAATGCAATACATTCGCTACAATTACGGGACAACAGTATTATATATGTTGTCTGTAAATGATTCATATCTATAAATATAATTAGTTAATATAATTAAACAATAAATTGATATATTTTAGAGATATTAAGTATTCTTATCATTAGTCTGTTTGGTTGTATACTATACCAAAGCAGGGTGATAAAATTAAAATAGAAAGGTTTTTGTGCCTTAACTGATGTATGGAGCTCATGAATGAATTAAGTGAAATAAAGTGGCCATAGTACTCTTGGCTGTCATAAAGCAAATAGTATGCTTCGTTTCTAAAAACAAACAAACAAAAACAACTGTAATGAAAAAAAAAAATCACAGACAATGTTACAAAATAACATTTGCGCTATATATAACACGTTTGATGTATTACTGATTAAATACAGTACGTTTGCCAAAAAAAAAAACAATATGTGAGTTTGCATGATAGACTGATGCAGCAAGTTAAGGTCACATCTTTCTATTCTAAAGCTTTTAGCGCTCTCGCGTGGACTAGCGTTGAACTGCAACGAATGTTAAATGTGTTTACACAAATTATAATTAAGAGCAAAATGTTTATTGTCCAAAAGACTCTTTCTTTCTTTCTTTCTTTCTTTCTTTCTTTCTTTCTTTCTTTCTTTCTTTCTTTCTTTCTGTGTCTGTTTGCTGTATTTATTTACAGTGTCTATGGTCTTTACCTTGGACCGGCCTGCTAGAAGACTTCAGCATCTCAATACATAGTCGTGCATTTTCTATATTTTACTATATTTTGCTATATTTACAACAATCTGCTTATTTTTTTTAACTTCATATTTGTATGCTCAAAAGTTTTTCATGCCCATTTACTTCTTACTGTAATTTGAAGTAATATTATAATATTGTTTGTATGAAACGAATGAAACTATATAGTTTCATTCGTTTCATACAAACAATATTATAATCCTATATATATATATATATATATATATAGGTAATATTTAATATCAATAAGTAATAAGTAATATTATAATATTGTTTGTATGAAACGAATGAAACTATATAGTTTCATTCGTTTCATACAAACAATATTATAATATTACTTATTACTTATTGATATTAAATATTACCTATATATATATATATATATATATATAGGCCTATTATAAAGAGCAAAATCATAGTTATTAGTGTAATCCATTAAATTACACATTTTAGATAATGTAATCAGACTACCTTTTGATTACTTTTAGATTCCTTTTCACCTAGGTTGTTTATCACATTGATTTAAATAGGACAATCTTGTACCACATTGATATAAAAATACAAAGAGTATAAAAACATACAGTACTGTATATTCCATTCATTGTAATTAACAACATGATGCGCATTAAACATTACAATAAATCAAGGTTTCCTAAACTGGGGTTTGTAAATGAACTGCAGGGGCTTTGTGAGTTTAATGAAAAGCTAATAATTAATTAAATCATAAAGGTAAAACCTAAATAAAGTCATTTAAAAACAACAAAACAATAAATCAAAATAAAACATTTACTAAAAAAATAAAATATTGTATTTGTTTACCTGCATGTCATGTGACCATTAACATCTTAACTGTCACCTGTCCCCTCAGAGGGATGCCTAAGTTTACTTCACTATATTACAAATAAATCCTAATCTAACCATGACAAACGATATATCTATCTAAATAGATATTTTACCACTGTTTTTTGTTACAAATGATATAGGAACAGCAATAGATTAATTTATGACAAGAGTGCACCTCAAAAAATCTACATAACAGGCATTCTGACCTTGACAAAAAGTCTTTTTTCGTTGCCTTTTTCCCTATCACATTTTAGAAATCATCATAAATTATATATCAATTGAAAGCTTAAAACTGGGAGAATTTCTGACTGAATAAACAGTAGGCTATTTTAGAAAGGAACATTTAAAAGATGAAAAAGAGGAATTAGGGAGAATCAATGAACTATGAAAAATGTACTGCTATTGTGTGAATAATATGTAATCATGTAATCAATAAAAAGTAACTGTAGTCTGATTACACGTATTTTAAAATGTAATTTAATCTAAATACATAATCCAGATAACATGTAATCAGTTACTATCCAGGGATTTTAAATTAGGACTTTCTTGTTATGCAAACAATACAATTTATGCATGTATGTATGTATGTATGCGTGTATTTTATGTATGTATGTATCTGTCTGTAGCACAGCAGCATGTCGCGAGTGCTGGCGGACTTTTATTATTTACGATTATTTACGGCGCGGCGCGTTTATTGTGCGTAATTCGTTGTCACCTGACCTTTGCCTCAGCAGCTTCCTCTTTCTCCTCGATTCCTCCAGCAGGAACAGATCTGCCCCATCAGAGTTCGCTCATCCAGCAGCACAGAGATGTTGGCCCTCGTCCACCGGCTCCTGGACTGGTTCAGGTCGCTCTTCTGGAAAGAGGAGATGGAGCTAACGCTGGTGGGACTGCAGTACTCTGGAAAAACCACCTTTGTCAACGTGATTGCTGTAAGTCTGCTTTCATTCCTCACAGTTTGAACACTGTTGTCATGTCATTGCCTGCCGGGGTGGAGAACAGATGCTTTAAAACCTGTTTATGTGAGCAATGCGCTCTTATGGGTCTAGGCGTGATGTTTCCCATGGATTGCTTGACGTTTTAGCTTATATATGAAATATGAATTGCTAATATCTCCAGGGTTGAGGACTTTAATGACTTTTAGGGTGGATGAGATGCCACTGTTGTGTTTTAGTTCTCAAGTCGAATGTAATCAGTTTAATAAAACCTATATAATGTAATGTAATGTAATGTAATATGATGATCATCAAACACAAAATTTGATAATTTGGTATTATGAGTTTCCTTTGATGTTTATGTCAGTGCCAGATGTGTTTTTTGATTGCCTTCATAGATTGTTTTCAGCAATGATCACATTCGGCCGATACCGATATGGTGGCCGATATATCGTGCATCCCTAATAATAATCTTCCCTTTATGGATGCATCTGACTCAGAGCAGATGTCATTTATGAGAGTAATTTTTTGAATTTCCATTAAGTGTTTTTGACAGGTCAGTGCTGGTTCATTGTGGTTTTGCATTTTTAGTATCTAAAGTTTCTCATTTGTATGCTTGGCACAATAATGGAATTGTGGAATCCACAGATTAACCTTAATATAAACCTCAGTGTGACCCATATTTCGAAAGGTCTCTGAGTACAGCAGCCTGGATCAGTTATTAGGCAAAGGTCCCAAGTGCAAGTGACCGTCCCAATGGGTGTTCTTGAATCATGAGAGTTGCCCTTTCGCCTCTCATAGATGCTTCTGCAATGCAGCACAAAGAGTTTACAAACCCAGAGCTTCTAACAACTCTACATCAGGGTTTGAAATTGAATTCAAAGGTGAAAAGTGAAACATCTCGCAGGTGTTTTTCTAGTTTCACTGAATGATTTATGGGACACTTTTTAGTTGTAACTTGCTTAAGAACTGTCACTCAGTATTTTTCCACTCATAAATGTAAATCAGTTAAGTTTGCATAGCTAATATATGCATGTATAATGTATGTTTTATTATGATTTGTAAACCGCAGACCACAAGAAATGAAGAAGTACCACAAGAAAAGCAGCAGAAATCTTCTTGATTGAATGCTTTGAAGATTTTCAAATGCAGATCAACATGCAGTTACATAGTTGAAATTTTTAGGTGTTTTGTAATTTAGCTATGAAATTAGCTAAACTCTTGGATTTTTATCCTCAACGTGAGGGTTTTGCAATAGAGGAGATCCCACTCAATGATTTGGCTTCGTTATAATCATATTTTTAAAAGGAAGATCTTGGTTTTATCTAAAAAGGATTCATTTATTTGACATATTTTAAAATCCACATGGTTGAAAGAATCAATTATATTTTAATCTGTTGCACAATTTACTAAATTATGAAGCATGAAACTTTCTGGCTTGTTTTACCAAAAAATCACATTATTATTATTATTATTATTATTATTAAAACTCCCTGTGACTTGCTAGTGTGAGCTGTTTGGATTCAAAAGTGGCATTTTAACATTGACTTCCTCTTGTGTGCTGTTATTTTGTGCAACATGAGACTATACGATTGTCTTTTTTATTAACTTTTGCAACTCTTCACATGCAGGTTTGTTTTATTTATGTGATTGAAATGATCGGCATGTTTCTTTTCCACTAGTCTGGTCAGTTCAATGAAGACATGATCCCTACAGTCGGCTTCAACATGAGGAAAGTCACCAAAGGCAACGTAACAATAAAAGTAAGTCTCATCTACACAGATCATACTTTTGCCTCAAGCATGGTTTTCTTGGATCCAGATATATAGACTCTTTAATGCAAGTTATATACATCACAAGTACAATGTTTCATTGCCGGTGCCTTCCATCATGTCCACTTGTCCTGTTTTTGCATAGATTTGGGATATAGGCGGGCAGCCACGGTTCAGGAGCATGTGGGAGCGATACTGTCGGGGCGTCAATGCCATCGTGTGAGTATAGCATCTGCTTTTTGTCCTCACAGAGACTTGCTTGCTTTATTTCATTGCCCTCTGGAGTACTTGATTCTGATCAGTCAGTGCCGTTGAGCGGTTAGATATTTTTGCATAATGACCATTAAAGTGCATCTAGAAGCTAGATAAGAGAGAGAATTTATAATTGCATGCATTGCATTGTAGCTAAATATTGTTTGCTAGTAAGTCCATAGAAAAAGGTAACTAAGATTGTAGATTAATAATAAATTAATATTCACTACTGTTCAAAAGTTTGGGGTTGATAAGATTTTTTTTTTATGTAGTCAATGCTGCATTTATTTGATCAAAAAATAGTAATATTGTATAATATTATTACAATTTAAAGATTTTTATTTTTTTTTGAATGTATTTTAAAATTGTAATTTATTTATTCCTGTGATGCAAAGCTGAATTTTCAGCATCATTACTCCAGTCTTCAGTGTCACATGATCCTTCAGAAATCATTCTAATATGCTGATTTGCTGCTCAAGAAACAGTTATTATTATCAGTGCTGAAAAATGTTTTTGCTGCTTAATATTTTTTGGAAACTGTGATACATTTTTTCATGATTCTTTGAATAAAAAGTTAAAACCCCCAGCTTTTTTTGTAACAATATAAATGCTTTTACTGTCACTTTTGTTTAATTTAATCCATCCTTGCTGAATAAAAAGATAAAATTCTTGTTTGTTTGTTTAAAAAAAAAAAAGATCTTACCCCAACCTTTTAAATGGTAGTGTATAATAAATAAATAGACATGGTTTCAGACAGTGTCCATTTTGTTGCTTTGTTTTCTGAGTTGTAATATGATTTTTCTTAGCTCAAGATATAAACTATTATACAAGAAAACAGAATAGTTGAATCAAATTAGTATTTCTGGTCCATTTATTTACTTCTTTGATAAGTAGCTGTGAAATAAGTGCTAGATTGTACAACCAATCAACAAAATAAACCCCTTCATTGTGACATAGGACCACTCTGCTTCACGTTGAGATTCTGATCATCCTTTCAGGGTTTATTTTGCGACTGGCTGACTGTAAATCATCCCTAAACTGAAGTTTTAGTGTTTACATTATCAACGACTGCATTAAGGACTCTGTTGGTGTTTTCAGGTATATGGTTGACGCTGCAGACCGTGAAAAGGTCGAAGCCTCGAGAAACGAGCTACACAACTTGTTAGACAAACCACAGCTGCAAGGCATTCCTGTAAGAAGAATTTATTACTGTAGCTGATCATTTCCCCTTGTGCTTTTAATAGAGGACTGTCCTATTTATTAATACTTTGTGCTGTTTTATTACTGCTGAATTTTGCAAAACAATAGAAAATCAAGCCTAGCCATCGCACCACACCTTTTCCAGATCCTTCCCCACTGCTGTGTTGTATTTACCGAGCATGACTAAGCATCTCTGCCGTCAGCTCCTGTGGTCCGAGATGTCCTCACTCACTGGGGGCATTATAGGTCTTATCTTCAGCAGAGAAAGCAGCAAAGAGGAAACGGATCGCCCATTGATTATCTGTCTGTAGGGAGTGATGGGACTTTTGGCAGGGGCGTCCACTATTTGCTAAAGCGAACAATTTAAAAAGACAGCTTTAACACGATCTAATGTAGAACCAACACCCAATAACATAAATCTTGGAAGCAAAGTGTGAACCGTGCAGTTTAAACATAAAGAGGTTTAAGACAATTCGTTCTTTATCCTCCACAGGTACTTGTCCTTGGCAACAAAAGAGACCTCCCCAGCGCACTAGACGAGAAACAAATAATCGAAAAGATGTAAGACTTTTTTTTTACAGTTGGGTGACCACACCCAGATCTTTAGAAGGAGTTCATGTGAGGCTACACTCAAAAAATGGCAAATGATTTTTGCCATTTTGTTTCCTTTTTCCACAGGAACCTGTCTGCCATTCAAGACAGAGAGATCTGCTGCTACTCCATTTCATGCAAAGAGAAAGACAATATAGGTGAGAGTTACTGCATTTTATACACATCCCAATATAAAACTGTGATGTTTGGTCAATTAAAACATCCTAGCAATTGCATAGCATTAGGGATGTAACGATTACCGGTTTGACGATAAATCATGATAAAATTCCCCATGGTTAGTATTACCGTTTCATCTTTTAATTGTCATTAAAACCGTATTAGATTACCGTGATTTGAACAACTCGCGATAAATAAATACTGTCCAGCATAAAGCAGAGTTTTCAGTAACAGTCTCAAGTGTGCACAGCATGCAGAGTAGTTTCGTTTTGAGTGAAAACAGGGACCGAATTTGCATGCCCTGCTGTAAACTTTGACCGGTTGATGAAAAACAAGCTTATGTGGATTCTACACATTTAAACAATTCAGATAAGTTATCTAGAATTATTTATGGAGCAGATAAAATACATATAATCATTTATTAATCAATTATCATTTTGACTTATATCTTTTCTTTATTTAAAGGCTGAAATGTGAGGTTTACCTTTTTATTAAACTTTTTCAAAACTTTATTTGAACATTTACATTAGATATTTCAACATGCTATTAAACTGTTGTCAGTCAAGTTGTCATTTAAAATCCGAACACCATTGGTAATGTTATTGTTTTAGTGATTACTTTTTTAACATCTCCAGCACATTTTAACAATACCGTGATAATACTGATAACTGTGATCATTTTGGTCACTATAATCGCGATAAGAAATTTTCATACCGTTACATCCCTACAGCATAGACCCTAGCATTGTGGCGGTAAACACTACTCGCTTTCAGAAAATGTTGAAATCTAGTTTTATGGTATTGAGTGTCACAAGCAAATTATGTTATTGATGTTGAATGCCTTTTTTATTGGGTATTATCTTAATTTGGAAGACTTGAAAAGTTGATGCTAAGATTTCTTGAAAAAGTATGAGAACATTATGTGCATTCATAACTGCAAAAAGAAGGCGGCCTGCTGGAGTTCAAGTATATTTACTTCAGTAAACAATGACTCATGAACCACCTCACTGTGACTCATTCACGGTACAGCGTTTGAGAGTTGTTTTTTACCAAGCAGAACAGTTGTGGTTGTGATTTCATCTTGATTTCCTCTAATCTGAGAAGCCGTCCATTTGCATTCATTACACTACTTTAATCACTGTTTTTTTTTATTAGCTTTACAAGCATCAAATTAACAAGGAAAAGCCAATATGCTATAATGATAAGCAGCATTTCCCAAACAATGACATACTTCAAGCTAGTCTGCGCAAGAAAATAATTGTAATGGCGTAAAATGGTTTTTGTGAGACATTTACTTGTTTATCTGTCAGTAATGACAGTTTTAGTTTATATTACAAACATCACTTAGCAGTCATTCAAGTGTTAGATCATTAGTTTCACAATGCTTCTGTCATCAAATAGCTGCATATAAGAAAGTGAATTAGCATTAGGACTGTCACTAACTTCAAATAAAGTATCAAAAGCAAGTTATTATATGGTTTTATTGAACAAATCAGTTTAAATACTTAGTATAATAATATAATCATAACTTATGTACATTATGTATTATATCAAATGCCTGCAGAGGGCGCCAACGGCCTGACAATTGTTTTTACACTTCAGCCTACAGCGCGAACTCATCCTTGTGAAATAAAGGCTCATTGTGTTTATACTTACCATACAAACTCTTCTAACTCAAATTTTCTAAAGTCTACTTTTTAAATAAAGATTGAAAGAGATCTTGGAAGCTTAAAGGTGGTGACATTGACTGGTGTAGTTTGTTTATAGCCTAACCTACTTTTTACTTCTTGCATGATTGTATTTGGCCTTCGAATTTTATAAAACTTGTTCATTTTTGAAGATGATTTTGAACAAAATGTGGAAGAATCAAACTTTTGTAGGTCACAGAGCTTATGTTATGCAATAATCCAAAGGTCAGTGAAAAAAAAATCCTATTGATGACTTCTGGGTTGGCCTTCAAAAAAATGTCATCCATGCAGATCCGATTTGATGAAATTTGAGCAAACATGCTTGAAACCAGCAATAATTGTTCTTATTTGTATTTTAAAGCTGCAGTGTGTGACATCTGCTATATTTTATATTTTTTTGCTTGCAACATTTTGTACTTTTGAATTGCTGTCAAACAGCCCAATGTTTTGAAAGCACCACAGAGTCAGAGTAATCAACATATGTATACTTCAGAGAAATTTTGAAGTGAATCAAAAGATATTATAAAACATAATTGTTCATCTCTTCCTTCCTCAGATATCACCCTGCAGTGGTTGATCCAGCATTCAAAATCTCGGAGAAGTTGAAAGCAGACCCCGTCCTGCCCTTGTTCCAGCTCCCAGCTCAGCCCAGCGCTCTTCAAACCGGCCGGCCCTTCCTGTGAGCAGTGACGCAGTCCCTCCCAGCCGCATCTGTCTGTCCAGTAGCTGCCACAGTAAACTGTCAGTAAAGCATCTTCACCGGTGGGCCTCAGACTCCACTCAACACATGGTTGCTATCAGTTAGTCAGTTTTGTTGGCTGAATGGATTTTTAAAATTTTTATTTTAAGCTAAACCTCTAATGGTAAACCTTGATATGGTTTAAATCAGTTTCGGAGTTTGCCTTCTTATCCTGTGAAATAAGTTTGTGGTATTGTTTGGGGTTTTCTTTTGTTCTGCTTAGTTTATTGTTTTTGTATTATTTTGTATAATTTATTGCGGTAAAGCATTTTTACCACAAAGAGTGTTTAGAATGAACATTTGAGTAGCTAGTATTGTACATAATACATTTTAAATGTACACTACTTTTCAAAAGTTTGAGGACAGAAAGATTTTTTTAATTAAATTTTTTTTTTAAATTGCGCAAGGATGCATTAAATCGATCAAAAGTGACAGTAAAGACAAATAAATGCTCTTTACTTGAACTTTCTGTTCTTCAAAGAATGTAACACGGTTTCTACAAAAATATTAAGCAACTTTAATAAAAATAAGAAATGTTTCTAGAGCAGTAAATCAGCATATTAAAATTATTTCTGAAGGATCATGTGACACTGAAGACTGGAGTACTGATGCTAAAAATTCAGCTTTGCCTCAGAAATAAATTACATTTTAAAATATATTCAAATAGAAAAGTTATTTTAAATTGTAATAATATTTAACAATATTACTGTATTTTTGATCAAATGAATACGGTTTTGGTGAGCATAAGAGACTCAAAAACCTCAAGAAATCTTACTGACCCCAAACTTTTGAACGGTAGTGTACATTTAGCTGATGTTCTTCCTTTACTCTGTTTACTCTGTTAACTCTATGCACCCTCCCCCCAACTATTTGTGAAATAATAATATTTTATATTTGCTTGGGTTCAAAGTTAAACTGTAGCCGGTTGACTAGCTGGATGACTAGACGTTTACCAATATTTGCCTTTCAGCAAATCTACCTCAGCGGTGTCATGAGCTACAGTAAGCGTTCAGAGAGCTGTGCAGAGAGATCTTAAGTTTGAATAATTCAATCCAACATATGCTTATGTTGTTTTATGAAGCAATTCTAAAGATTTCTTCATATTTATGTTGATCTTTGTGCACTGTAATTGGTGAATCTGCCGAAAAAGTCTAGGACTTAACCCTGAGAACAAAGGCTTTTGTTTGACTGTATATGTGTGTAAAAATCAAAAGTATATGAGAAAATGACAGTTTCTGAGAAGCATTAGTTGTTCTGCCATAAAAGGCCTGATAGGTGCATCGATTACAGACTGTTAAAGGAACACTCCACTATTTTTGAAAATAGGTTCATTTTCCAACTCCCCTAGAGTTAAACAGTTGAGTTTTACCGTTTTCGAATCCATTCAGCCGATCTCCGGGTCTGGCGTAGCACTTTTAGCTGCAGCTTAGCATAGATCATTGAATCTGATTAGACCATTAGCATCTCGCTCAAAAATGACCAAAGAGTTTCTATATTTTTCCTATTTAAAACTTGACTCTTCTGTAGTTACATCGTGTACTAAGACCGATGGAAAATGAAAAGTTGCGATTTTCTGAAAGTTGCGCCTGAAAATAGTGCTACCGCCAGACCCGGAGATCGGCTGAATGGATTCGAAAACGGTAAAACTCAACTGTTTAACTCTAGGGGAGTTGGAAAATGAGCCTATTTTCAAAAATAGTGGAGTGTTCCTTTAAGCGTTAAATACAAATATTGTTTATACAAATACTAGTTGAGACACACACACACACAAATAATTTCCAAATAAGCTGTTTTTTTTTTCTCCCATCATGTTGTGTATTTTTGGGGGGGCTTTTACAAAAGTTATAGGCTGAGCTATAGGCATTTATGATCTACATAAAATTGTATGTAATTTATTAAAATGTTGTTTAACCTGTTTATAAAGGGCTTTAGTATATTATATACATAAAGTTTTTAAAAAATTTTCTCTAGCTTTTTTCCCCTCTGTTTTCAAATCATCTATCTTAAATGGGTGCCCGCAAATCCCAGATTGTTATTAATTTTTACAGGACATATTAATGGCCTTGTTATAATATTGTAATTTGTGATTGTCTCGACATTGCTGGGACATTACTGCAGCCTTGTAATACAAGAATGGAGGTCACATCTTCACCGTTCACGTGAATTTCTCTCTTCCTCTGTGCATTTCTTCATTCATTAATTCAGACATGATGTGTGTTGTTGGTTCTGCTCATCTAAATGAAGCGGGTCTGTGGCCAAAGCTTGTTTCCTCATGTGATTATCTCTGTGCCGCCTTCAAACTATACAGGATGGTGTCTCCTCTCCTTCATGTGATTATCCACACATGAAAAATCAATGGATCTGTTGCTGACTTTGTATATAATTAAATGTAAAACTTTTTTGTTTGTTTTGCAGAGTGCTCTTATTTGTGTCTCTTGCATTATTTTGTTTTGTGATCAATCAATAAATTGTTTTTTTTTTAGGGTGACTCAGTCTGTGCATTGTCATGTTTACTATTAAATTTGACAATTGAAAGATGAGAGGGAGTTGTTTGGCTTTTGAAGTTCTAAAGTAATGTAATCAGAACTCATTCCAGACAAAATATAGTGCAAAAAATGCATACTCATTCTTTACTCACTTCACTTTTCCCTCACATTTTTACAATTGTAAAGTCACTAAAACTTAACACAAATGGAAGTATGGCAATTGAGTAATGAAAATAAGTAAAAATCAATACTTGTCATACATATAATGTACATATTACAACAAAACTAATTTCAAACATGTATACATATTTTTAAGTTGGTATAATTCTTTAGGGGCTTAATGTAATGTCTGCAACATACATTGGTTAAAATTATTCAAAGGTCCTGTAAAATAATACACTTTTTACCTTGTCAAAAACAGCTCTGTTCACAGCAACCCGTTTCATTGCATGTCTCTTTAAATGATAATGAGCTACTGCTCACTCCACCCCTTTTTTCTTTGGGGCGTGTGTCGACACAAGACACTTGAAAATATCCATATATGGCTAGGAGGTGGTTTTATTCAAATATTCAAATTATACCATTTGAATAGGTTTTATTCAAATCTACATAGAAACTCTGCTAATTGAAGCAGCTCACTGGATGACACATTTTTGTTTTTGTAACCTTTTTACATTTATTTATATGATGTTTATGCGTGCATCCATTTACGTTTGTTAATTATGTTTAATCGATCTATTGGTTATTATTTTATGGATTTGTGTGTAATCCCTTGGTAATATTTGTTTTTGTGTTTATTGTTCAAGCTTTAATAATAATAACAAAAATAATAAAAAAGCTCACTGGATGACAGTTTCGGACTTAGCCTATAACGGACTGGCTGCATGTTTTTTCTTTTCTTTTCAGCTTTTCTGAACTGGTAGACACGACAGAAACCTAACTAAATGCAAATAAATAAATACATTGAAAAATTCATCCTATGTCCCCTTTATGATCATAAGAAAACATATTCTGTCAAATGTATTCAAACCTTAGACTGCTAGTGTAGCAGCAAAGTAGTCTGTAAGGCAAACACAGGTAATATTTATAGATTACAATAATGAATAAATATTATGCATATTTATTTATTTAATATTGGCTAGAACAGACCATAACATTTACTCCAAAAAAAAAAAAAAAAAACTGCTAGCCTACTGTTCACAGTAGTTTATTTTTTGGTAGCCATGGGTTCTTACAGTGTGCCAAGAGACCACATGGTGGCAACAGAGAGCCATAGAGCTGCATTTACGTTTGAGTTAGTTTCAAACCAGGTATATCAGCTAGCTAACTTTTGTGATACTTGTAGCATCTTTACAGCACCTTTTTGTGTAAAGACTCCACTCCACTTACTACACTCTGGCAAGTAAGCTACACTCATGAGAATAGTACACCACAAAAAAAACAAAAAAACTTTAAAAGCTCTGTTAAGCTTGTATTTGTCTATAGCCTAGCTAATCTGTCTGGGTATATACACACAGAACTGGAATACTGTACTGAAGATATGTTCCATCAACTTGAAACTTGAACTGTCAGGTTCCC